TAAGTAAGTGATGAAACAGTTTTAGTATTGTAAGTAAGTGATGAAACAGTTTTAGTATTGTAAGTAAGTGACGAAACAAAGTTTTAGTACTGTAAGTAAGTGATGAAACAAAGTTTTAGTATTGTAAGTAAGTGACGGAACAGAATTTTAGTATTGTAAGTAAGTGACGGAACAGAATTTTAGTATTGTAAGTAAGTGATGAAACAAAGTTTTAGTACTGTAAGTAAGTGATGAAACAAAGTTTTAGTATTGTAAGTAAGTGATGAAACAAAGTTTTAGTATTGTAAGTAAGTGATGAAACAATGTATAATGCTACCTAAAAAAAAATAATAGGTTTAAAACAAAATACGAATAATAATTGTGACATTCTGTACGATTTACTCAGAAACTGATTTAATACTTATTTTACCTAAAAACAATATTTGAAATGTGAATTTGGTGCTACCTTTTTTTTTGGGGGGGGGGATCATTGATTTGAAGGAGAGTCCTTCCATTTGTATCCAATTAATTAACTTGAAGGGTGGGGTTTCCTCTTGTATCCATTATTTAAACAAATAATTGAAGGTAAAATGTAGTTGTCAGGGTTTGCTACTGAGCTAATTTTGACGTAGGTTGGTTATGTTACTATTATTAGCGAACGTAGGAGTTTCTAGAGTACTGTGAATTGGAGGGCACATGGTTCGCGTATCGTAGCCTTAAAGCTGCGCTCTGTAGTTTGAGCTCGTTATAAAAGAGTTGATCAACTCCCCAAGTGGCTCAGCGGTACGTCTGCGGACTCGCATCTCTAAAAATTGGGTTTTGATACTCGTGGTGGGCACAGCACAGATAGCCCAATGTGTAGCTTTGTGCTTAACAACAAACAAACAAATCCCACCATTCGGTAAGATTAGCCCACAAGCTGCCAATGTTGACTTCATTCTAGTGTATGGGCTCAAAATTAGAAATGGTTAACTCGGATAGATTGTTCGGATATCCGAAACTAAACATCAAGAAACATTCCGTCCTAAAGAAGAATTTTAGATCTTTCTCGATTTGTTTCCTAATATTTTAACTGAGTTAAGAACTTGTTAAAAATTATGTTAATACATCATTCAAAGTTGCTGCAAAAATATATAATTTACAATAATAAATCAGATTTATGACCGTAGCTTTCTGATCACTTCCGTATGTGATTAACCTAGTTAATTCTCTGCTGCTGTTAAGCACTTAAAGATCTTTCTAATCGACCTCAAGCATGTGATGCGTGAAATATTTGTAGATGACATATTTATGAAGATTAGACAGGTACTTCATAGTCAGGATTTTGAAATATTAAATTTACAGATGGTTACGGATCACATGTTGGTTTACGCATTCAAATTATTAACACATGAATTAATTTTGTACTACGCCATTATAACTTACTTTAACTGCTTGTACTTGAATTTATAACAGCTATTAACTCTTAACGACGGGACGAGGCCTAGTGCTTAGCGTGTTTGGACTTGAATCCGAGGATTAATCGTTTGAAGATCTATTGTCGCAAAAATCCGGATCTGCACTTTGGAATCATGGTTGTGCTTTAAGAATGACCGTCAAATCCCGCTATTTGGTCAGAAAGAGACACCTAAGAGTTGGCGGTGGGTGCTCTCTGTAATCTATCAGTTCATAATTAGGGACGTCTATGCATAGGTAAAGTTTTTGTGTTGTCACGTGCGCAAAATCTTAAACAAACAAATTTCGAATTTGTATACGTCAGTTAGCACCAACCCAACAGATAAACACCGAGTTCGTTAGAAACCGGCCCAGCATGGCCAGGTGATTAGGGCACTCGACTCGCAATCTGAGGGTCGCGGGTTCGAATCTCCGTCCCACCAAACATGCTCGACCTTTCAGCCGTGTGGCCGTTATAATGTGACGGTCAATTCCACTTTCGTTAGTAAAAGAGTAGCCCAAGAGTTGGCGGTGGGTGGTGATGACTAGCTGCCTTTCCTCTAGTCTTACACTGCTAAATTAGGGACGGCTAGCGCAGATAGCCCTCGTGTAGCTTTGCGCGAAATTCAAAACATCGTTAGAAACCAAATACGTCAGCTAGCACCATCCCAACAGAGAAACACTGAGTTCGTTAGAAATCGAACGTTTCCAGTTAGCCCAATCTCAACAGAGAAACATTGAGTTCGTTAGAAATCAAATGTTTCCAGTTAGCACCGTCTCAACAGAGAAACATGGAGTTCATTAGAAACCAAATGTTTCCAGTTAGAAGCATCTCAACAGACAAACATTGAGTTCGTTAGAAATCAAACGTTTCCAGTTAGCCCAATCTCAACAGAGAAACATTGAGTTCATTAGAAACCAAATGTTTCCAGTTAGAAGCATCTCAACAGAGAAACATGGAGTTCATTAGAAACCAAATGTTTCCAGTTAGAAGCATCTCAACAGAGAAACACTGAGTTCGTTAGAAATCGAACGTTTCCAGTTAGCCCAATCTTAACAGAGAAACATTGAGTTCATTAGAAATCAAATGTTTCCCTTTTCTTTAAATCACCTTCTTTGTCTTTGTTTGTCCATTTCAATGTTTCATCCAGATTATTCAGAGATGTACTTACCGAAGATATTTATTTTTACTTATCTAGTTGGATCATAAAATACATCTGTACATCTTCATCAAACTTTCATTATAACTCACCTGAACTTGTAACACGAGATTTTTCATTAATATATATAAATGTTCTTGACCTTCCCCTATTTGATACCACATATTCACCACTACCAGGTCCATAGTCATCGTCAGAATTGTCAATAACCTTTTTTCTATTATATCTTTGGGTCTGGAACGTATTTTACTCATTACAAAGCTGTCAGAGAATAAATTCTGATGAAGGCTAAAAGAGGAGCGAAGTTTAATATAGAAGTAAAAGATAATTCAGTAAAAGAAGTTGTAGTTTACTGTTTATTAGATCATAGTTTGAGTAATTTCTGCTTTTACGCATTGCATACGTTTTTCTGCATAAAGACCCACATTAACATTAATTAGTGAGATTATTTATACTATTGACGGTATTTTATTTAATGTTTTTGTGATACTTATGTGTTAGGAAGGGTCCTATAAACAATAAATTTACGGACCCATAAGTAGTTTCGCGATGAAAAAGTTGAAGAAAACTAACTTAAGAGAAGATGGGTCCTTGCAAACTAAATCGGGAATTTTGTGGTTAAAAAACAAAATATATTTGATAATAATAATCCCATGACTCTGTGTTGTATCTTTTCCCCATGTTAAAGTTATTTTATGTTGAGTAGAAGCTTCGAAAAAATACTTGTTTGACAGTTATCAGAACCCATTTAAATAAGTTTAAACACTTTGCAGCATATCTTGATAAGCTATAACTTTCCTTAACTTCTTATGAACAAAAGAAAACTTATCTTAAGAGGAGATGTTTCCCTATAAGGGTTAAGGTTATAAGTTCAATCTTAGATCACTGCTTTGTTCCTTGTCCGTTCGAATACACTCACTGCTGTAAAGTTTACATATAATAGATCACGAATATAAAATAGATGAATATTAATTATCAACACACTTAGATAACTTTCTTGAGTTATAATAGAGAGAAAATCGAACACAAACTTGGAGTCTGATCAACTTATCTTTAACTGCTAATGCAAGATTAGTGACACTTCTAGTGACGTTACTAGGTGTCAGAAATGGTTTCTTTAAAAGACAAGGTCCTGGTGCTCATCAATAATGCTTTCAGCTTATCTGTATCTATATGTTCAGCCATTTATCATTTCGGTTAGGCTGAACTCTGAGTAAACGTATTGATGAATCAGAATGATCGGATTATTTGTTTTGTTGGATTTCGAGGGATATTTGCATTAATCGTTGCTAATTTTGAAGTGATCAATTAAAAGGGAGTCATCTAGTTAACACACGCGTCGTCAATTCTCGGGCTACTAATCTTGTCATAACGAATAGTGGGATTTGACCGTCACTTTTATAACATACATACTACTCCTAAGTGCAGAGAGTGATATTTTGTGTGTGTGTGGGGGGGGGGGCTGGACTTAAACCCATGAAACTCAACTAACTAACCATTGGACCGTGATCAGGTCATTGTAAAAGATGAGCTTAGAGTTTAAATTTTGATAATCTACGTAACCATATATGAATTATATGCTTTCATATTCCATCGTTTTCGTTATGGGGGGGAAGGTTTAATTCGAGGGTAATTATGCTAAGCAACATAACAGATCGCGTGTGCTAGACCTTAACGAGTAATGTTTATACGAAATTCATAATTGTAACCACGAGGTTTCAGACAAAACGAGTCACGTAAGGGCGAGTGAAAACGCTTTATTTTAAAGTTCTTAAAAAGTGTTATATTTTATGACCTATTATATTATCTCGTACCATTTGCCCCGACTGTTGTGAGAGATCACGTGACATTAATGATTATTGTTGCTTTAAATACATGTTTTGAATAGGATCATCTTTATAGTTTCTCCGATGTTCTAGATCTATATTAATAAATGAAATATTTTAAATTATTGGATGTCCATGTGACACGTGGATCCCCTGAGAGGCTCATTTGTTTGCGACACATTAATTAGTAGAAAGGAAACCAGTCTTATGGAAACTATACCTCTGACGTGATCGTTTTAGCGAGATATTATCTGTTTACTTTGAATATTATTTAATGCTCACGTGATAAATGACCCCTGTTCTCTCAAATGGCATTCAAACAAATCATGGTTTGAGACGAACGTTTACAGTGAATATGTGTTGATGTGAATGAGACGAACGTTTACAGTGAATGTATGTTGATGTGAAACACTTACGTGAAAAAACAACAACAATTAATACAGAGTTCGAAATGTAATCTCACAAAGTATGCTCAACATTTAAATGAGAGCGTTAAAATTAAGAACATATTTTCATCCAGCCTACATTATAGGCAAATTATTGTGAAAATCCTTTACCGAAAATCGATATATTTTGAATAACAATTGATAACCAGAAATTGTATCTTTCTTAGTCATTAGTATGACACATTTCGAGATTCTGGTGATGAAACATCTAGCACAGTCCCTGAAATGTTATTCTGAATGTTTATTACGAAGAATCGATTGTGTAAACTGTCTATAGAGATTGATGTGTTCTAAAATCATTGTTTTACTTACAATACATTGTATTACCACAAGTACTAGAACAGTACATTGATATCTGATAATGAGCTTGTCCCCACTAACTTTATGTTATAATGCTATGCTGAACTGATGCTTGGTGTTTCTAAATCTCAGAATCTACTTCAAATAGTCGTTTGAAATAGAAATTTCACGACGAAACGTCTACATAAAATAGCTTTTGGCTTCAGGATTGGTGGTATGAGATCTCATTTTTCATATTGTATCCCACTTTCACATTACATCACCCATCCACATTGAAACCCACCTACATATTACATCCCACTTCCATATTGTATCCCACTTTCACATTACATCACCCATCCACATTGAAACCCACCTACATATTACATCCCACTTCCATATTGCATCCAACCTCCACATACTATTCCACCTACACATTACATCCCACCTGTAAATTGCATCCCACCTTTACGTAGATGTTAGATGCTGTTCAAAAGTGACCACTACTTAGTCCATTCAAACTTTAAAGCATGTTACAAAATGTGTTATACCTCGGACGTTAAAAATATTATTAAGGCTTCCAATGAGAGTTCACTTCTTCAGAGCAACATATGAACCGTGTGCAAAGAGCTTGATGGACTTCAAGTTCGAGATGTAGACATCAACACAGCTCTGAATGCAAAACTTTGAGGTAAAGGGCATTAAAAACATGAAGTAAAAGGGGGATCTCATTTCTTACTTCTGTAAGAATTAAGGTTTGACATCAACTTAGGAAAAAACTTAAAATATTCCTTTGTAATTCCAAGTTTGAAAAGTGTTTGGAATAATATGGTGTTTTTGGCTTGTCTCAGATAGATTGCATTGATGGAATTCTTGTGTGATGATTATGCAGCATGTCATACTTCACGCCATATTCAGCTGTATTTTGAGTCAAAAGCTAGCACTGAATTCTGACCTGAATCAATTTAACCGTTCTGGAACGGTTCTCTCTAGAAATAGAGAGTTATTTGAATAAAGAAAAGCCGTGGCCTGAAGTTTCTCAGAATTGAAAGTACTCTGATAGAGGAGTGGTAGTTTATTTCAAAAGATGAGTACCACTGAGGCCTAGTGCTGAGAAAAGAGTTTGGGTTGGAATTATCGTTAAATGTACTTTTGACCTTAAGATGGCGTATGTGTATATATTTATATGTACGTTTGTCCAACAACCATAGGTAGCTGTTTCATGGTAAACTAGTTTAGTTAGCTGAGAGAAATAATATTAAAGGAATTGTATATGTACATTTGTTTCCAAAAGCTATGGAACAAAAATAAAAAATACATACAAGTCTAATGTAGTTGAAAATTTCATCATCAAATTCGAAACACAAATACATTTCTATATGATACAACGTACAGCAAAAGCTATGTTAAGTAGACCCCGTTAAAACATGTTAATTAACATCTGTATAAGGACACATGGAATCTTCATCTTAGTTTTGAATAACTATGTAAAGGTATTTTCACAAAATATCTCGTCGTAACGTAACAAACAACAGGTCCATTTATATAAAAAATCAAAGTCAAGTTTAAAGTTCAACAGAAAATAAATAAGAGAAATCAAAAGTATTTTTCAACGAATACTCACACAAGACATCCAAAAAAATGTTCTTACTCTCTCCTTTCCCGATTAAATTGTCAGCAGCACAGCGATAACTTCCTTCGTGTTCTCGAGATACATTCTTTATCATAAGTGTATGTCCATGAATCTCGATACCATTAACTGGATTAGAAAATAGTCTGTGATCATCTAATATCCACTGAACCTCTCGATATTGAGGGTTGGCATTTATCTTGCAGTCCAAGTAAACAGATGTTCCTTCTCGAAGTACATTATCTTCATCACTGGTTTGTAACTCCAAATATAATTCAGGCTTATCTGAAAGATTCATTGATAGCAAATATGCAAGTGCTATTTGCCGAACACTGTAATGTTATATCTTGTAACATTTTAACTGAACATGAAATACGGTTGTGTTATATGTGTGTGTCTTTAGAAACCACAGTATAACTTGTTTTATATTTAATTTGATTTAAAGTTTTATTTTCGTTTGGAGAATTTTTTGTTTGAGATTCATTTTGATATTAATTCGTTTTCCTTCTTTGTCTTCCGTGTATTCGAACCATTCTTCATTCATGAGTTTGTAACCAGGATCTAACTCAGACTTGGTCTAAAATCTTTTGAGAGACACTTGGCACATATTTTTGGTGATCGTGACTTAAACTAGAATAAACTATCCACAGAGGCTCTAGTGTACTGTTTAAGCCATTCTCTTTCCCTCAAGTACTTTTATAGCTACCCCAAGGGGAGTCTGAACCCTTAAAAGCCATTAGAAAACCCGCACGTTGTACCTGAGTGCGTTTCACAAATCTGGATCCGCTAGCTCGGCCCGTGGATCCCCAGAGGACCAGAAAGGAACACAAAATCTGATGCCAGATTCTGGTTCCAACCCCAAAAACTACTCGTAGACCACATAATACATTGGTAAACTTTTTGACTCTTAGTTGTCTCTATTGTTAACTAAGTTTACTTTGTTGTTGTCTCTATCGTTAACTAAGTTTACTTTGTTGTTGTCTCTATCGTTAACTAAGTTTACTTTGTTGTTGTCTCTATCGTTAACTAAGTTTACTTTGTTGTTGTCTCTTTCGTTAACTGAGTTTACTTTGTTGTTGAAAAGTGTCTCTATCGTTGACTAAGTTTACTTTGTTGTTGTCTCTTTCGTTAACTGAGTTTACTTTGTTGTTGAAAAGTGTCTCTATCGTTGACTAAGTTTACTTTGTTGTTGTCTCTTTCGTTAACTGAGTTTACTTTGTTGTTGTCTCCTTCATTAACTGAGTTTACTTTGTTGTTGAAAAGTGTCTTCTTCGTTAACTGAGTTTACTTTGTTGTTGTCTCTTTCGTTAACTTCGTTGTATTTTTCATATATAAAAAACGAGGGTATGAATATTTTTATGTTGACTAAACAGCAGCATATTTTGTCTGTCTTAACCAATCATTCTTTATACTAGTGTGAATGTTGCAACACATGCCTGTCTAATTACAAATCTGGAATAATTAAAACCACAAACAAATTTTATAAATACAATTTGCTAGCGTTCATCTCGCATGAATTGTTTTTTCGACCTGGAGATATTTAACCAATAGTATTAAAACACATTGATTACAAAGGTATCGAATTATTTGCTGTAAAATATTTAATACACCTTATAATTACTAGAGTTCAACTTGTCTGTTCCATAAGAGAAATACGTAGTTATACAAGAGCGAAATTAAGAATTTTAACCACTCCGTTAAAGGCCACATTGAGTCAATGAATTGTATTTGCAATACAAAGCGTTAGTAGCCCTAAAAGTACAATAAAACTCTATGAATGCTTACATTGCACGTCTAGCTTCCATATATCCTCTAAGGCACTTTCTGACAAACGAGGGTTTTTTGCTCGACAAACGAGTTTTTTGCCGTTGTCTTCTTTTCTCGGTGAAATGAAAATATGACTGGTCGTGACTTTTCTGTTGCCTGTAACAGGTTTTTGGGAAGCCTTCAGTTTCTTCCCTTCCATCCACCAAGTTATTTCCGCCGGTGGAAGGGACCCTTGAGACTGGCACGTGATTTCCATTTCAATTCCAGCAAGAAGTGGTGATCTTGGTGATGAAATTCGAACAATCTGAGGCTTCACTGGGCAAAGATATTTAGTGGTGAAAGCAAGAAATTGAGAATGACAAATATAATTGATTCACATTACTGCTTTACTTCGTATTTGCTTCTTTATTGTGATTGTTTTTCATCAGAAAATAAATTTCTTATAAACTTTATTTTTTTATAGTATAAACATTTAGCAAGATCAAATTTATATTAAATCGTCTTCAATTTTTCTGTTGTTTAATTCACTGGTTAAAGCGATGTTGGTAAATTATCTACATTCAATAAGTAATCAAGCTGCTGAGTTTAAAATGAATTGCTCTATCCGAGTAATAATCGTGATAATTTTTTCATACCATTAAATCATTAAAATACACGAAAAACCTTTTTATATTAAATGTACAGCGAAGTAATCAAAATATTTTTTTGAGTTTTAAAGGTATATATATATGTATTATGTTTATTAAGTAATTTCAAAACCTAAACCAACTCTTTGAAATATTCTTAAGTTTCTAACCCTAACAATTTTAGTGGTATGAAGGAACAAGATATGGCGATTACTCGTATCTACCTACTCACAATTTAAGTCAATCTTCACCGTTATCGATCTTGGGGGAATAAAATTGGTATTGGAAGCGTTGCATGTCAGCGCCATCATGGAGTAGTTTCTGTACAAGTAAGGAATGTCCAAACTGTTTGCGACAGCTTCTTCTGAAACACGCCAATAGGTGTCATCTATTAGGATGGATCCACTCCACCAAGAAACAATAGGAGGCGGGTTTCCTACAAATATTTTGGGATCATAAGATACTGTGTAAAATCTGCTTAGAAACGAAGAGAATACAATATTTAGTGATTATCTGCAAAACGATTATTTCATGTAATATTTGTAGTTACATTAGTAATGTCCCATAAAGTTATGTAATAGTAACTTCAGATACGGTAGGAATTATAAACTCGTGTTTTCCTGAAAGCTCTCTATACTTCACTTTTGTATAGTAGTAATCTCATTAACATTAATTCATTATTGTGAATCATTCCAGGAGTGCAATTAAAGATTTTCCATTTTCTCAAAACGATTATAAAAAATCTATATCTCCTAAAGTTTCATATGTGAGGTTTCACTTATCTCCTACAGCTTCACATATGACATTCAGCTTACCTCCTACACCTTCACATGTGACGTTCAGCTTACCTCCTACATCTTCATATGTGAGGTTTCACTTATCTCCTACAGCTTCATATGTGACTTTCAGCTTACCTCCTACAGCTTCACATGTGACTTTCAACTTACCTCCTACAGCTTCACATGTGACGTTCAGCTTACCTCCTACAGCCTCACATGTGACGTTCAGCTTACCTCCTACAGCCTCACATGTGACGTTCAGCTTACCTCCTACATCTTCATATGTGACTTTCAGCTTACCTCCTACAGCTTCACATGTGACTTTCAGCTTACCTCCTACAGCTTCACATGTGACTTTCAGCTTACCTCCTACAGCTTCACATGTGACGTTCAGCTTACCTCCTACAGCTTCATATGTAGGTTTCACTTATCTCCTACAGCCTCGCATGAGAGGTTCAAGTAACTTTCTACAGCTTTACATGTGAGGTTCCACTTACCTCCTACAGCTTCACATGTGAGGTTCAAGTAACTTCCTTCGTCAAATGGCCCTATCCTACCACCTTCATATCTGTGATCACCATATCGGATATAAATATCTTTAGGAGGAACTGAAAGAAAGGGATTAGAACCGTGTTCACTGAATTTTATACTTTGTATGAAATATAATCATTCCTTTCAAGCGTTAACTGGAGAACTAGATTCAATGAGTATTGTACGAACTAAAACTGATGAAACACTTTCAAAGGTTTTACATTATGCACTAGGGATGGATATAAATTGCTTTAACCCATATTCTACACAAATCTTCTATGCGTTTAAAATTTTACATGAAAAGGTCTGGAATTTAGCAAGTACTTATGTTCCAAAATAATTTAAATATGTAGATCAGAACTAGAGGAACTTAAAATGACTTTGGGTTTAGTGCGAAATATCATAAATATGTAAACACTATAGAAATAAACCTATGATAATTACGTTACTTTCAATTATTAGTTAGGCACCCTTGAGGTTAACTATATTTTCACTCTCGCCATATACAACTGTCTAGAGACTGATAAAAAGTGAAAAAACGACAAACAGTTGTGTTGTTTTTATATCATTGTGATCATTATGAGCTTATTGTGTCGCACAATATACTTTTCACGTCTATTCAAAATTTTTCTTTCGTTAGAGAAACTTTTTTTTTTTAGCAAAGTGGCGGTTTTCTGTTACATCTCTATCTTGCTCTATCTCAAAACAGCAAAAAAAAATTCATTTGTTAATCACCTTTTAACGTAGCTGGAAATAAGACTAACATGAAGTACCCTACTTTCCTAAGTTGGTATAATAAAATGGATATTTCCCCATAGATCTCGAAGGTCATTAGAAATTCAGATTCACTGCACAAGGAAATGAGGCATGACATCCGATTGGGCAACAAAAAATTATGTTAACGAATGAATAAATCGAATACTTGATTTCAATGTAGGTTTCAGAGAAATTACAAAAACGGAAATAAAGGATGCGTTACGGTTGTTTCTTGAAATATCATTATTGCAATGTTACGATTGCTTCCTGGAATATCACTGTTGCACGTGATGATTGTTTCCTAGAATGTCATTGTTGCTATGTTACGATTGTTTCCTAGAACATCATTGCTGCTATGTTACGATTGTTTCCTAGAATATCATTGTTGCTATGTTACGATTGTTTCCAGGAATATCATTGTTGCTATGTTACGATTGTTTCCTGGAATATCATTGTTGCTATGTTACGATTGTTTCCTGGAATATCATTGTTGCTATATTACGATTGTTTCCAGGAACATCATTGTTTCTATAGTCACATTCATCATGACTTTAGTATTTGTTATTAACCTTTATATTTAAAGTATGCATATTACTCTCACCTTTTTATGTAAAATGAACCACACGAATTAATGGAAGATAAAATTGTAAAATAATTTAAAGGATTATAATTGGTATAAATCAAGGAATTTCATTAAATAATTTAGTTTGAGTTTGAACTGAAACATATTAGTATATCACTGACCAAGCAAATGAACTTGAAACAGTTATATTCGCTGGTTGCCTTGCGTGGATTGGTGATTAGGTTGCTCAACTCGAAGTCTGCAGGTCGCGGGTTCGATTCCCATTACTGTACATATTCGCCGTGTCATCAGTAGGGACGTTATTATGCTTTGGTCAATTTAACTATTCGATTATATTAGCAGAAGAGATAGCGGTAGGTGGGGTTGACTTGCTGCCTTCCCTCTAGTCAATCAGCTCTAAATTAGGGTCGGCTAGAGCAGATAGCCCTAGTAACTTTGCACGAAACTAAACCAACTAATAAAACGGTAATTAGTTAACTAACCCATAGCTGTCGTTTTAATCATTGTAGTGCCACAATAAAACAGAAGAACTGGAGGATATGTATATGAGAGAGAGCATTAAAATGCGACTTACTTTAAGCTTTTGAGTATCGAACCATGTGTGTTAGCGTCCAACGTTCTCTATAATACAATGTAAACACACTAGTCATTGTGACGTGAGAGAAAAGATAAATTTACGACAACAATTTTGGTGCATTGATCTTTTACAGCAGATGCGGTAGGGAAAACTAAAGTAACTATATTTTACAAGATAACCACATGTGATGATATTTGAAAAGTAGTATTAAATAATCAAACTTCAGTAACTTTTCATATTGTATCTCCGACGTATCCATACTTGAATTCATATTTTCTCCGTCCACTGAACGTCTGAAAATATGTTTGATTTTTCAATTAGGCACAACCAGTCCATTTGGAATGAATAAAAGAGTTCTATGTCTTTTAACTTTATCCACTTGATCTACACTTTGTAAATTTGTTTGCACAACATTTTTGTTCAATGTACGCACTCATTTTTCTCCCTAGCCTGATCACTTTAGTCACCCACAAGTGTTTCTTTGTTTCTTTTCCCTGTCCTTTTTCTCCCTAGCCTGATCACTTTAGTCACCCACAAGTGTTACCTTGTTTCTTTTCCCTGTCCTTTTTCTCCCTAGCCTGATCACTTTAGTCATCCACAAGTGTTTCCTTGTTTCTTTTCCCTGTCCTTTTTCTCAATAGCCTGATCATTTTAGTCACCCACAAGTGTTACATTGTTTCTTTCCCTGTCCTTTTTCTCATAGCCTGATCACTTTAGTCACCCACAACTGTTACCTTATTTCTTTTCTCTGTCCTTTTTCTCCCTAGCCTGATCACTTTAGTCATCCACAGTTGTTAACTTGTTTCTTTTCCCTGTCCTTTTTCTCCCTAGACTGATCACTTTAGTCACCCACAAGTGTTACCTTGTTTCTCTTCACTCTCCTTTTTCTCCCTAGACTGATCACTTTAGTCACCCACAAGTGTTACATCGTTTTTTTCACTCTCCTTTTTCACCCTTATTTTAACTCCCATTATTTCTTTCGTTGTAAATCTTTGAACAATATTGCTCGATGCACGAGCTCATTCTCTCATTGAAATAATTTTCTTACACTGTTGCATATATTCAAGTTCTATTTTTTAATTTAGTATATTTACTCTGATTTACTAAATATATATTGAATAATTAATCAATTATTATTATTTATTAAAAACTTGGTCTCGAGCCACGTGCTACTTGGTCAATTTTTTTTCCCTATCACCCTATCTCTTCTATTAACGGTTTTAGTCTCGCTAGAAACCAGATGAAGGGCGATCTCTTCACCATTATTATATTTTCTATTTTGTAATTATCTCGCCCACACAATGTTTTTTATTTCATTGTCACCTTTAAAATTCTTTTTGTGACGAAGATCATAATCCTTTATCATCTCCACCCGTACATTTACGCCAATTATGGTAATGAAAAAAAAAACCTTCCATGGATTATAAAAGGCTAAACTGTCCGTTTAGCTTGATTATACGTGTAGATGACCATTTATCACAACGATCTCGTTAGCTGAATGACCAAAATAAAGTTAATATCGTCGGGTGATATTGTGTTAATGATACATATTCTGAAAAATATAATGCTAAATTAAGGTATTTCTAAACGAAGGTGTATTTTATAATCCAGGGCTAATCTTTCCCACATAATCGCTTCATTCATATATGACTGATCGATTTAAACATTCTTTTTAGGCATTGGTAATTCTTGCACATTTGAAACAAAATTTTTGAATAAAACAAAAGTCTAGTGGAACCTTTCGTCAGTCGCATAAGCCCGAATGTAAAAATTGCATTTAACGTCCATTTTTTTACGGCTTAACTTTAATAAATCATAATTAATTTACTAAGTAATGTACCAGTAATAATTAGACTCTCTGTTCTTACCAATAATACTGACATTCAGTTTTAGTAAGAATTAGACTCTCTGTTCTTACCAATAATACTGACATTCAGTTTTAGTAAGAATTAGACTCTTTGTTCTTACCAATAATACTGACATTCAGTTTTCGGTGACTGGTTCGTCCTCGCTGATAGTCTACTCTACATCTGTATTCACCAGCGTCGTCTTCAGTTACTGGCTGTATAACGAGAGAAGCCGATCTTGCCGTGATATTTAGACTAGTTCTAGAACTATACTCGTCACGAATTACATGTTTGGCATTTTCCACTGGCTCGTTCCTAGCATCCACTCCGTACAAAGGATTTCCAGACGTTCCACGATACCACAGCACGAGTGAAACACGGTCGTCAGGGGAAGGGGGTGTGATGTTACATGGTAGAACTAGTTTTCTCCCCACGACTGACCGGTACTCTGGGTACTCTAGAACAAAATAAGTAAAAAGGGGGTTTGTAGTCAAAAGTTAAGACATTTACGTAACTATTGAGTAACTCATTTTCTTTCAGCAAAAATCAGTGTGATATATATAATATACTTTTGTTAACGATGACCAGTTAATATAGGACGTGGTACGTATAATTATTTTTTAATTCGTTTTTAGAGCTTTTTTTAAAGACAAACATTAAAGTAATGTTAGGTTTCAAAGCGTAAAATATACAAGATTTTAGTTAAAACATATTTTTTATACAACTTTGAATAAGAAAAGTCCAAATATCAAAAAATGAGAAATAGTAAAAAAAAATATAAAACGTAATTTACTGATTTCGATATTTTAAGCAAATTAATTTACCTTTCTGTTCATCGTAGTAGTGGACAGGCTTAAGCTTGATACCTGGAACCCCTATCAAAGAAAATATAACTTAGTATCCTTCAGTTACGTACGTAGTGTTCCCTATTAATTAAATAAAATATAATTTAGTATCCTTCAGTTATGTAAATAGTGTTCACTATTAATTAAATAAAACATAATTTAGTATCCTTCAGTTACGTAAATAGTGTTCCCTATGAATTAAATAAAACATAATTTAGTATCCTTCAGTTACGTACGTAGTGTTCCCTATGAATTAAATAAAACATAATTTAGTATCCTTCAGTTACGTACGTAGTGTTCCCTATTAATTAAATAAAATATAATTTAGTATCCTTCAGTTATGTATGTAGTGTTCCAGCGTCTTCAGTACGGTGCGCTATAAATATTTTCTGAGACAACCTTGAATTTTGTAAAATTATAGACGAATTTTCCTTAATCCTATTTACCCAAGAGCAATATACGATACAATACAATAGAAGATGAATAATGAAAACTTTTTCCTTTGTCAGTTTTGTGTATTGTTGTTATACACATGCTAAAAAAACTGTCTGATAAAACAACTATCTGCTCATCATATTCTGTAGAGAAGATTAGTTGCTTCTTCTGATAGAAGTATTAAAATACATGGTATACACAAGAAATAGTGTGCTTCAATTAACAACGAAATTCACAAAAAATAGAGTTATAATACATTGAAATTGATCCTTATACTTCTATTGTCACATATAATATTTCCTCTGTGCAAAGAGAAATATTGAATACATTGATCTCCACTAATGGAACTTCCAAATATATTTTATCCAATTTTATTATTCATTTCTTTTGTCTGTTTTTAAAAAGAAAAATACTACGTTTAGAAAATCTTCTGAGGGATTAAATTTGGTAATGAATTTTTCCCAACAAATTGAAATAAAATCAATATTTTAAACAGCAAATAAATAAATAATAATAATTCTGTTGTATAACTCATGAATTAATTTATTTGTGATTTTTTTTAAATCAAATTTCAAAAAATTAATAAACTGAGCGCCTCCAGCGTAGGATATTGTAAATAAAATGTTTGTATAATTTTAAGACATTATAAAGTCACGAGCAGGAAATTCTCACTTTTCAACAATACCTCTATAATAAGTTATTTCTCAAAAAATATTGTTGTCAACAAAGCAATAAATTTAACATTATAATACTTAACGCTATATTGGGTTAAGATGTTATTACTGAACCGTAACGAAATGCTTTACAATTATTCTATGAATCAAGAACTTATTATAATGTTTATTCTGTTAACTGTAGCATTTATTGATTCCGGCGGGTAAAATTATCTATTATAATTATGATGGCACTTTACTGAATACATATAACTTGTTCAGGTTCCAGTTCGTTTTTCTCTCTCTAAGGTACTCTTATTCAACAGAATATTTGACTATTAACAGTTGAATATTTTGTTTTTGAGATTTTATGCAATATAGACTTTCTTAAAACCCCATACATTCGTTCGTCTCATTATATTATAGAAAACTACAAATTTATCAATTAATTCAGATTGTTCTCTGACTGAATTACAATAATGGGTTAATACGTTAAAGCGATGGCGATCAGATTGTAAGTTAAAAAATCAGGTATCCTTTGACCAACACCTAAGATATTCGTTTAGTATTATTGCGGTGTGTTATAGATAACGTAAAAATGTGAGCAAAATCATTGCAGAAACAACACCTAAGGTGTGGGTTAGCTCTGTCGCAAGGCACTGAATGTCGGATCATGTCATTCGGGTTCAAATCCGTGCGATATCACTAAATATTTCATGCATTCTAAGATTCATGTTCATTATAAGAGTGGCAGTTCCATAAATACAGAAATTATGTCATAAATCAGAATTTTTTAAAGAAACTCCGTAATTTGTTATATTTTTAATCTAATTTTCTACACCACGAAACGTTTCATACATTTTATGTTGTCATATTTTTTCATATATTTCGTTTAAGATTAAACCTATTAATCAGTAAACAATGAGAACAAAATGGAATATATTTTGAAGAGTACTTTTCCGTTTAGACATTTGACAATATCACATTTTAAAACTAGACTCACTCAATTAAATTGAAACATAAGTAAAACATGCCTTATAAAAACGAAGTAAAATAACTTAGCATGTAAATACCACATTTTAAAACTAGACTCACTCAATTAAGTTTAAACATAAGTAAAACATGCCTCATAAAAACGAAGTAAAATAACTTAACATGTAAATATCACATTTTAAAACTAGATCCACTCTATTAAGTTTAAACATAAGTAAAACATGCCTTATAAAAACGAAGTAAAATAACTTAACATGTGACTTACTGTATAGTAGTAGCTCATAAAAAGTACTTTATTATCTATATCTTCTTTAGTTTCACATTATCGTAATCTCGAGTCGTTTTTTTAATGTCCTAATTAAGTTTATGCATTATCATTCTCAAATCTCACAATAGCTTAACAAATTACTTACTCACTGGCTTTGGCTTGTTCACTCAAGTGAGCTTGTGTGACAACTTTCAATGTAAAACTAGATTTTGGTTTACTAGGGAAAGGGTCTTATTGAAATGTTCTTCCTTTGACTAAAAACTCGTGTATAAATAGATTGATTTAGGCTTAAGTAGCCTTGTAAAAATTCATAACATATTACCAGCATAATTCTTTTTATCAATTTCTTTCACTACCAAGTAAGCGAAACTTATTCAGTAAACTTTCCGTGTAGCAACTAAAATGGACGTGAGGATACGAAATCCTACATGTCTCATAGAACCCTTCATTTCTTCTGTGTACTTTTCGATCAGTAATTCAGATGTCAATTTCAATACAGCATCACATGGAGTTTTGGTTTTGATATTTGATATAGAAGACTTCAGTGAAGAATTTGGTTTTTATTTTTGTTAACTTGGAGTTTTCGCTTGGGTTTTTATTATTAAAACAATAAGGCACGGTGTTACTAGTAGCAAGGTTTGCGTTCGTAACTCGTAAATGTAAATTTATATAAGAGAATTATAATCAAAAATATAAAACATCCATACACATCCATAGAGTCAAATAAAATAAAGTACAAAAACGGTCCCTTTAATTCTGATTAGCCATCTAAATTTACTTTCATCTGTTTAATACGTCTTGGGATGTAATTGGGATTTAACGATAGAGATCGTCCATAGTAACTGCGAAAGAAAACAACTCGTTGCCATGTACTAGCGTATTAGATAGAGCGATGCTTTAGGCCAAATATTTGATTAGATGTGGACACTTCAAAGAGAAGACAGGCAATGAAAGAGATGTTAAGGCTGAATGTAACAACATCTTTTAAATCGGACATCTGTGTCAGCTGTCATCTTGTGTGGTTCTATTTTACTTTTGTAACAGCATTGTGGTTGATTTGATTTGATCAAAGTTGCAAGTTTCACGATGTCATAGGAAGAACGGGGCTCCTTTTAATTTTTAGTAAACCTGACATTGGTTTAAGTTACAGTCCTTAATTGATCATTGTCGGTATATCGTTCTTTGATCAGATAAAATCATGACAATACACATAACTAGGGTTATGACTCAGTAAAAGCTCAAATCATTTTAACGAGCACAAAAAGTATTATGAGATATTCTAGAATTATAATTTTGAAAAGTAAATAAATTAACAGTGATGTTTTTCACTGATCTATCCGTATGTTTAGTTCAAGTGATAGTAGTTTATGCTTACACTTCAAGAAGTCTCTATTGTATATTGTCATATTTTAACTACGTTAATGAAAAATACTGCATAACATACTCTCAGCGTATCATTGAGTTCTCTGGTAAGTTTGTTTTGATTCAGTCCAACCTTTAAGACTGTTAGTGTACTTTATGTGTTTTACTGAAAGTTGTCTCTTGGGTGTGAGAACAAATCTGCAATTACATCACCTAACGCTAATTATTAATTAATTACTATTTTTCGCTTATTACCAGATACTAATTAATATGTTAATGTCATCTTCCACTACCCTTAGTGGTTAAGCAGCAAGTTTACGTTCTATACCCGCTGTAAACACGGCATATCGTGTAACTTTGCGCTTGAAAACAAAACCAGAAGAACAAATAGTGTTAATCTATTGTCATCTTCCACTACCCTTAGTGGTTAAGCAGCAAGTTTACGTTCTATACCCGCTGTAAACACAGCACATCGTGTAACTTTGCGCTTGAAAACAAAACCAGAAGAACAAATAGTGTTAATCTATTGTCATCTTCATAGAAGTGACAAGAAACTGTTAATGGCCGGATTTCGAACCTGGATCTTCTTCATAGAGAAGCTAGTTATTTGTCTGGGATCTCCTCCCAATTAGGAATTGAATCAACTAGCATCTGAATTCCTTCAAGAGGGATATCTTACTTTTGCTGACATCTTCTATGCTAGGTTTAACGGGTGTGTTATATAGAAGGCTTCTTTTATCTTCCCTTTTCTCAAGTGTGGCTCATATATCATTATTTTGTCTATCCAGTTTATCTTATGATCTTCTTCTCTGAGATAGATCAGTATTACAGAGACCAGTGTGTTTATCATGCTCCAGTTTATTGTATGATCTTCTTTTCTGAGATGATGGGATAGATCAGTATTACAGAGATCAGTGTGCTTATCATGCTCCAGTTTATCGCATGGTCTTCTTCTCTGAGATGATGGGACAGATCAGTATTACAGAGATCAGTGTGTTTATTATGCTCCAGTTTATTGTATGATCTTCTTCTCTGAGATAGATCAGTATTACAGAGATCAGTGTGTTTATCATGCTCCAGTTTATCATATGATCTTCTTCTCTGAGATAGATCAGTATTACAGAGACCAGTGTGTTTATCATACTCCAGTTTATCGTATGATCTTCTCTGAGATGATGGGATAGATTAGCATTACAAAGACTAGTGGGTTTATCATGCTCCAGTTTATCGTATGATCTTCTTCTCTGAGATGATGGGATATATCAGTATTACAGAGACCAGTGTGTTTATCATGCTCCAGTTTATCGTATGATCTTCTT